CAGGATTTTTTTATCTTCTTTACTAAACGTTGGTATTTCATATATATCTAGGAATCTGTACATTTCTTCTGAGTTCTATGCTGTGAGAGTAAAGATTTTCAAGTAGGTATTTATGATCTGAGTTTCTGTGGAATCTGTAATGTCACCCTTTTCATTCCTTATTGCATGAACTTTAGTTTTTTCCTTTCTCTTTTTTATAAGGCTGGCTAGGGGTTTAGCAATTTTATTTATTCTTTTAATGAACCAACTCTTCTATTCATTTATTTTTTGGAGGATTTTCCTCATCTCAACTGCATTAATTTCTCCCGTAATCTCTATAATCTCCTCACTTCTTTCGACTTTAGGCTTGACTTGTGGTTTTTGCTTTCTAAAAGTTTGCGGTGCAGCATTAGGCTATTCATTTACTCTCTTTCTGTTTGTTTATGTGTGAGTTCATTGCTATCAATTTCTCTCTGAGGACTGCTTTCATTGCATCCTACAGATTCTAGTAAGCTGTACTTTTTTTCATTTATTTGAAGGCATTTTTTAATTTGTTCTTTAATTTCTTCTGTGATCCATTGGTTGTTCAGGAGGTTGTTGTTTAATTTCCAATATTCATGGAGTTTTTGGAGTTCCTTTTGTCAGTAATTTCCAATTTCATTGCACTATGGTCAGATAATATGCATGGAATAATTTCAATTCTTTTGCATTTAGGTAGGTATGCTCTGTGGGATAGAATGTGGTCTATTTTAGAGAAAGACCCATGTGCAGCTGAGAAAAATGTATATTCTGAGGTTGTTGGGTGGAACACTCCGTATATATCTACTAAGTCCATTTGTTTGAAGATTTGGTTCAGATCTGTTATTTCTTTGAAGAGTTTTTGTTCAGTAGACCTATCTCTTTGTGTCAAAGGGGTGTTGAGGTCCCCTATTGCAATAGGGTTTTTAATTACATGGGTTTTCATGTCTGTGAAGATTTGTCTTATATAGTGTGGTACTCTACTATTTCGGGCATACATGCTTATGATTGTTATCTCATCCTCTTGCAGTTTTCCCCTAACAGGTATGAAGTGACCTTCCTTATCACTTTTGATTGTGCTCGGTTTGAAGTTTACATTGTCTGTAAACATAATAGCTATACCTGCTTTCTTCTGGGTTCCTGTTGCCTGGAGGATTGTTTTCCATCCTTTGACTTTCTATGGATTTTCTTTTGAGTAAAATATGTTTCCTGTATAGAGCATATTGTTGGATTTTGGTTCTTAATCCACTCTACCAGTCTGTTTCTTTTGACTAGTGAATTGAGACCATTTACATTTATAATTATAACTGATATGTGTTGATTTATCATTGTCATGTTTTTTACTTTCATTGGTTTCCTCTTATTTGTACCTGTTTAATTGCTTGCTCTTCTTGACGGTTCCTTTCAACTGTTGTTCTTGAAATTGCAGTCAGATTTTTCTCTGCCTAGAATATTTTTCAGTACTCTTTGCAATGCTGGTTTGGCACTCATAAAGTTCTTCAATTGTACTTTGTCATGGACATATTTTATTTCTCCATTGAATTTGAGGGATAGTTTGTCAGGGTACATCAGTCTTGGTTGGAAGCTCTTTTTTCTCAGGCCCTGCAATACTTCACTCCAAGCTCTTCTAGAATGGAAGGATTGTGTTGAGAAGTCTGTCGTGTTTTTGATAGACTTTCCTTTATAGTTGATCTTTTTCTTTTCTCTAGCAGCTTTTAAGATTCTGTTCTTTTCATGGAGATTGGGGAACTTGACTGTTATTTGTCTGGGTGTAATTTTATTTTGGTTATGGTTAGTTGGAGTTTATAGGCCTCTTTTATCTGTATATCAGGTTCTGTTTCCATACTTGGGAAATTTTCTGCTCTTATTTCTGCAAATATTCTTTTTATGTTGTTTGTGTTGCCTCCTGCTGTTTCATTGACTCCTAGTAATTGTACATTATTTCTGTTTACCTCATCTTGCAGCTGTTGAATTGATTTTTCTTGGTTCCTTTTTGATTTTAAGAGATCATTTTGTCTCTAGCTGCCATGCTGTCTTCTAAATTTTAAATTGTATCTTCGGCTTCATTCAAGCGGTTTTGGCATCTTTCAATGGAAGCTTTGATTTCCTGGATATTTCTTTGAATTTGGTTCATGCATTTCTGTTCATTTGTATATTTTTCATTTAGCATTTCCAATCATAAGCTCTGTTCTTCTATTTTTTAAAATATATTTCTTCTTTAAATGTGCTGAGCAGTTCTTTTATTATTATTGTCATTCCATTTTTTTGCCTTAGAGATTATTTCTAATCTGATCTCTTCTAAGGCCTGTTGGAGTTGTTTTTTTACTTCCTTTGCAATCATTTCAGCAATTTCAGGAGTGTGTTTACCAAGATCTCCTACGTCAGTGTCTCCTGGACTTGTTCTGAAAGGGCTGCAGTTCTGAGGTTGTGTTTCAGTCTTTCATCTTGTCATGTTTGATGTTGGTGGTAGAGCATTCAGTGTCTTTCCTCCCTGTCAGCTCAGCAAAGGTCACTAACCTTCCTAATTTTCCTGGTGGTCAAACTTTCCTCTCAGTGACCACTGAGGTGTCCTGCTTAGTCTGCATTCTTCCAGCAGTTGGTGAAGTTTACATAGGTTTTCCAGACCTCAGATGGCAACCATGATGCTGTCAGGTTACAGACAATTTAATCCAGTATCCCCTGACAGTTCAGGGCAAGAGTACGAATCAGAACTGGTCTGCACTGGTGGTGTGATCACAGACCACTTGTTCCTGTGACTCCAGGGAGTTCAGGGCAAAGGTAGAGCCCGGACCCAGACAGCAGTGTCTGCAGTTTATGGACTGACTTTTTCTGTGTCTATAGGCCTCTCACCACAAGCACAGGAGCCAGAGGTGGGCTGTACTGGAAGTGATCACAGAGTGCCTATTTCTGCATGCCTGGCCCAGGCTTGAATAGCAGTTTCAGCAGTTCATGGACTGCCTGCTCTTGGGCTTCACATGTCCCTGGGCATGCACAAGGGTGTCCCTATGCAAACTCCAGTGTTAGTGGGTTTGTGGGTCCCTTGAGACAGTCTTCTGTGTAACCCAAGTGCACAGAGGGCAGAGACAAAGACTTCAATGGCAGCAGCGATCTGGGTTGATGCTTGTTCTGTTCCTGGGAAGTTGATGGGGAGCTACCTAGTTCTCATGGCTTTCAACTGTGACTCATGGTGTGAGCAGATCATGGGCCTCCTGTTTCTGTGTCTGCCTGCCAGCTGAGGCATGCACAGGAGGCAGCCTTGGGCTCTGCTGGTGGTGATCAAGGACTGGCAGTTTCTGCATGCCTGCCCAAATGCAAACCCTGGAATTCAGATGTGAATCGCTGTTTCAGTAGTTTTTTGGACCACCTGCTCTGGGGCTTCATATGTCCCTGGGCACACGCAAAGGTGCCCCATGCAAACCCCAGTGCTATTGGGTTCATGGGATTCTTGAAAATGTCTCCTGTGTGCCCCAGGTGCACAGAGGGTGGAGACATACACTGCAATGGCCCATTCCATGTTTTTAAATAATCACTAGTTTTCAAATAAAAGTTTAGTAAGAGGACAAGTAGGCATTCAGGAAAATTTTTTTAAATGTTTATCATGGAGCAATAGCACATTATTCTCAATAAGATGAGTAAACCTTGTTAGAATCACTTATGCAACTTTTTCAGAATACATGTCTGCAAACACAGGAATTTGCCCACCTCCCCTTTCTCTTTCACCTATAGGCTCCATGAGCATATTAGGTAGTCAGGGATGACATGTAATTAATATAGTTATATAGACAAAAGCATTCCCGGTGATTCTGACCCTGTTAAGTCTTTCCCAAACTCTGGTGCACATTATAATCACCTGGAGGAACATTTAAAATGCTCTTTATACCAAACTGTACCCTGTACCACTTAATCAGAATGTTCTAAGGTAGAATTCAGGATCATTTTCAGGCTCCTAGAGTGATTCCAGTGTGCAGGAATGTTTGGGAATCAGTACTTAATAAGAACAGAGAAGAATTGCTTCTGACTATTTGGTAGGACTCTGGGCAAGCCTGGGTCCTCTTATCTGTAATAATGGGCTGTCAAATGAAATTTCAAGTAAGACTTTGCACATTTTCTCATTGTATGATGTCAGCCTACAATTAAACTCAATTTGGAGATAAAACTCTTTGAAACACTATAGATATGTTTGTATTTGATGCCTATAAGACTAGACTGTTTCAAATTTAAAATAAGACCTAGATTTCTTTGAAAATCGAGAATTGCTTTCCTTTGTTGGTGTTAAACATCATTTTAGCCAGTGAGTGCAAGTAGAAGCATACAACTCACCTAAGGGAACCCCTTTGTTCCCTAATATACAGTATATCTGCATAATTTAGAAATACACCAATATATTATCTGAACAGTTGTGTCTGCTGTTAATATTTACACTAAATTGGAAATATTGGCCATGAACATACTATGTATTCTGTATTATTGTCATCACTGAATAGGTCAGGATGGCTAAAGGTATGATAAGTTTCATGGGCACATCTACTTAGTCATGAGTTTTCTAATCTTGGAAAAATGATTTATTTTATTTGGTATAGAGCACTTTTATTATTTACTTTTATAGAAATAATGAAAAAATGAGGTGAATCATGAAGTAAATAAACAGAAAGAAATATATAGCCTTCCATCTTTTGAAAATGATGGTGTGGTTTAAACTTAAGCATGTGGACAAATATGTAGAACTTTCCCAGAGTGTGGATTTTTATGGGTAAAAAGTAAATGATAGGGAAATATGTAATAATGTATGATCAAGGAAAAGGTGTTCTAATAGCACAGTGCCTAACATTTGGACTCTATGTTTGCTAAAGGCCAAAATACTAAAACAATGGAAAGTGCTCATATGGTGCTGTTCTCAAACTGGAGGACTCTAACACTTCTGGGGCTCCCCTATCAGAAAAATTGTCTTCAGTTTCAACAAATGATAAAATCAGTCCTTACAAATAATTTTTTTTCTTCCACAGTGTAACCTTAGCAATATATTACCACATAAAGTACAGGTGAGCTTTCTTTTTTGCCTTTCTGAGACATGGTTTCACTATACAGTTCAGGCTAGCCTTAAACTAATATTCCAGTTAAATTGCACTATACTATGTATAGTATTAGGTCATATCTGTAGACATAACTTGTAATGTTCTTTTAGAAAAATATGGAAGTAAATTATTTGGTGTTTCTTGTTGTTGTAATTAAAATAGCTGAAAGTATTCTCTGGGATCTTCAAGATCTCAGAGAATATTTTCTTCTGTGGCATATACTGATATTTGCTCTTCTAGAAATTAAAATTGAGAATTTAATGTATATATGTGTTTGTTTGCGCACACGTGTGCATTTGCCCAGGGAGTTGTTAACACAGGGTTTCTCAATCTTGAAATTGTTGATATTCTGAGGCAGATAATTCTTTGTTGTGGGTTGTCCTATGCATTGTAGGATGTTTAACAGGATCACTGTTTTCTGCCTAGTAGAAAACATTAGCCCCAAAAATGTCTGCTGCTGTACAAGATCACACCTGATTTTGAACTATCCTGTTAGTATAAATACCAGAAAAATAACTTATCTTCCGTAACTCTTTTAAGTTTTTGTTTCCTTTTTGTTGGATGAAAAGTGTGTCTCTAATAGTAATTTTGCACATCTCTTCATTTGACTCAATAGGACTCAAGTAGATTCTCACATTTTCCTTGCAATTACTCTACTTTTGAAGAAATAATAAGATAGCCTAATCTAATGGAGATATATAGTTGGACAAAAGAGGATTTTTAAACATTTCAGATAATTGTGGATAGTCTCTAACATATCATTAAATGCCACAAGCATTAATTTCATGAATTAGGTATAATTAGTTTTTTTATGACATTTCAAATTGTTGCATTAATACTCATTGTTGCATATTGCACAATGAGTAGTTCCTTTAGCAGTATGTGATTTATAATATGCAGTGGTTAGTTTGGAAATACTGATTCACATTTCTTTATAACATCCAAAATGCTTTTGTTAATATCACCACCAGTCTTACCAAAACGTCTTCAAATACTGAGAAGCTGTCACAAGCTTTTCAAAGGTACAAGAAGGTACAAGCTTTTCAAAATTTTGATTTTTAACTTAGAAGCTTGAATTTTGTCATTGGCAACAAATACTTGTTCATTTTCCTTGTAGGTTCACTTGTACATTTGTGGTATTTGTAGTTTCATATAAAAGTGATTTTCTATGATAAGTAGCCTCTTCAGCTCACAACTAAATTACAAGTGCTTTTTTCAAATACAAACATACTTTACTGTGCAGAAATGCTTTATGTGAACTTTTCACTTTCAGTATATTAAAAAGAAGAGCTAACATTTTTTAACATTAATCTTCACTGCTCCATCACAGACATTGAAACAAAACAGGTTTTATTTAAAAATGCAAGTGACAGTGAAAAATAGAACAACTGCTGTTGTAATTTGGCACCACAGTCTTGATTCATGCTGAGAAATCAGCAGTTTTACTTACTGTGGAAGAAGTATTACAAGTACATTAAATTGTCAAAGAGTGGAAAAGCAAGTAATGTCTTCATGCATTGGTAAGAACAGTTTGATCTCAGGAGCCTTCTGAAAAAGAGCCTGGACAATATTCAGAGATCCACAGACCAATGTCTATGTGAGCAGAATGTATCAGTTTGATGAAAAGATTGGTCTCTTACAAAAAGGCAGCTAAATTTTTAACTAACAAAACCAAGAAATACATGATAAAATTATAAGCAAAAATGTATTTATTTATTTATTTATTGGTTTTTCTCCGGTACCGGGAACCGAACTCACGACCTTGCGCGTGCCAGGCAGGCGCTTTTGCCGCTGAGCTAAACCCCCAGCCCCTGTATTGATTTACTAGCATTGCCTGTGTGGAAGAATCATTACTTATAGTTACCTTTAGCCGATCGTCTTAGAAAAGGCTTCCCAGTACTTGATGCATTGAGTATAAGGAAGTTTTAAACCTCAAATCCAGGAGACTTTGTAAAAGGTTTTGGTGTATTGAAGGTTAGACCTCCCCCTCCATCCTCCCCTACCCCTACCAAACATTTTACAAAGCTATAAGATATTTCTGAAAAAAATTTAAATGTGCATTCTTCCTTTTAGAGATGCAAATAGATCCCTGGATATTTTTGATGAGAGACTGCATCCACTCACAGTAAGGGTCCTTCTTTTCTTTCATGTATTTGTGCTTCTTTCATGCTATTTTACTTTGACATTAGTTCCCAGAAGTAAACCCCATTTGAATTTGAATCACCTGCATTCACACCGCATGTTGCATTTAGTCTTCATAGAGAAGGAGGGTTTTTCAGGGCCATCATAGAGTAAGAACTGACTTGTAGCTTTGTTATTGAACTAAGCTGAATAAATGTACTACCCAAATGGCAGAAAGATTGTTTCTTTTTGAAAGATTATTTTTAGTATCATTCAACAATATAAATATATGCAAATAAACCCCCAAACTTGTGAAATCTCTAGGAAAAGAATTAGAAAACGTATTTATTTTTGGTACCAGCAATTGAACTCAGGACCTTGCACTTGCCAGGCAGGTGCTATGCCACTGAGCTATATCCCTGGCCCTAGAAAACTTTAAATCAGTTAAAATGAGGTAAAAATTTAAAGTCATTGCCTCAGGCATATTAGGATTTTGGCGTGCTTAACAGTCATGTGGCTGCTCTTCTATGTGCCAGTGCATCCCTGGAGGCTGTGGTTGCAGGACACTAAATATGTTTTCTGGATATTTATTATAGGAAAATATAGCATATACTTAAGAAGATTTACAATCTAAAAATGAATTTGAGAATTCTGTGGAGACAAAATGGAAAGGAATATCAGTTATCTGAGCTTGAGTACTTCTGTGTGGCCTACCAGTGGAATACATTCTGAAAGATGTGTTGATAAGTGATTCCATCTTTGTGCAAACCTCAGAGTGCACTTACATAATGAAAATGTTTGTGGTGCACTAGGTGGTAGCTTATGAAGCCACAATTATATATATGGTCATCACTGACCAAAGTGTCATTAGGGGCAGTAAAAGATCCCAGTGTTTCTAGTTGAAGACTAAAACTAAAGCTAGAGATTCCATTTGATCCAGCTCTTCCCCTTCTCAGTATCTTCTCAAAAAATTAAAAGCATCATACCACAGTGATATATGCACACCCATGTTTATAGCAGCATAATTTGTAGTAGCTAAATCTTAGAAACAGCTCAAATGCCCATCAAGCAACAAGTGGAAAAAAGGTGTGTTTCTTTTTTACAATGGAGTACTACTCAGCCATAAAAAGGATAAGCTTGAACGATTTCTAGGTAAATGGTTGCACCTAGAGACCATACTTTTAAGTGAAATAAGTCAGACAAACGTGCAAATACTGCATTCTTTCTCTGGTATAAGAAACCAAAAATGTAAATAAGGACCAAAATGTGCAATAGACATTGTGAGATGAGACGAAAATATTCAGATTGGAAGAAGAACTAGGGAGGAAGAGGGGGAAAGGAAGGAAAGGAAATTTAAAAAAGAAGGAAAACTGGAAACAAAGCTTTTATAAATAAGGAGGAAAAGAGAGTTGGAAGGGAAGGTAAGGGAATGGGAATAAAAGAATCAAGATATATCATACACGTGTACAAATTCCCTATGATGAATGCTATTATTATTTATATCTAAAACATACCAATATACTTAATTTTAAAAAAAGTAAAATAAAAAATATACCACACAATTGAAATTATTTTAAGGAACATGTGAGCTTAAGGTGAAGACTACTATATTAAGAGTACTTAAGAGTTTTCTTCAGTGGATACTTACACTGCACCTTTTCTTCTTTCAGCGAGAGAAGTTTCCATGGGAATATTTTGAGCATGATCCTGAACAGAAATGTATTTATAGATTTGTTTCTTCTATTTTTAATGCTGCATGGTTACCAGCTGAATGTGCAATAGTAACTTTGGTAAGAGGTTTCTTATTTATCAAGCATGCTTAGACATCTTGAAAACAGGATAAGGTTTTTTTTTTTTTTTTTAATTTAAACTGCAGTCCTGCAATTATCATGTGAACTTTATTAAAAGAAACCGATCAAAGGACAGTAAATTAACATACTTGAGTTCCATAATCATTATTGATTAAAATCAATCACATCACACATGTGTTTTCTTGTCACAAAACAGTTGTGATTAAAGGTAGGAGACATTTTCCCCCTCACCTCAGTACACACACACATACACACACACATACATATACACACTTAACACTTTGAACACTTACACATGCTGTGGGTGGGAAGGATAGCAACAATAAGACCATATGAGCCACAGAGACTGGTTCCATGTAGTTCAAGCTAGGTCCCAAGCTGTGTTCTGCAAGTAATTCACGGCCTTCAGTTCTCTGTTCCTTGGGTTATGGATATCAGCCCATCCCTGCTGGCCATTTGTGTCTGCTCATGACGTTGGCCAGGATGGTTGACAGTACCAGAGATTCTTAGAAAGCCCTTGTTAGCCTGCTGAGCTATTTATGTTATCTATACAGAATTCAGAAGGTATGATTTTATCATAATAAATGCTGTTTAAGTGGCTGGGATTGTTTTAGTTTATGCGTAGTGGAAAGTCATCTACATGCCCTGTAGTGAAAGAGCACTTAGATCAGTAATGAGTCTTACAGCATCTAGTGAGAGTTGGGTGAAGACAGTTGTACCTTGTGCTTGAATAGAGACCCCTCAGTGGTGCCTCCATCCCTATAGCACTACTGGTGTTTGCAGCTTCCGTAACTCTTTCACTGGCTTTACCCCTTGCAGTTTTCCTTGGTTAATCCATGTTCCTGGCTTCTCCAACCATCTGGGTTCTCCACTGCACCTTTGGCTTCACACTCATTGCTTCACACACTGCCCCCCAGGGACACATTGCCTGGTCTTCCAGGCCTTCTGAAATCTAGGTGTAAGTCTTCCTGACCCAACAACTCTTGCATTACACATGCACCTAAAATTAGCACCATATGGATGATGCAAAGGTCTGCCAGATGGAACAGTAGCCAGGCTTCTGTCTCTTCTGGTTGTTGGGGGTCAAGTGCCTATCAACCAAATCCCAAGGAACACCTTCTGTAGGCCACTGGCATTCTGGAACATTGTGCTCTGGGGCTCTCTTCTCAAAGCAAAGCCTTTCACTTTTGCAGTTTTGAAGCTGTGAATGGTAGAGTCCTGCTCCTTCTGTGATGCCATTCGGCCATCTTTTCTATTCTCTTGTTCTTTCTGAGCAGTCAAGATCTCCTCTGATCTGTTTTTGCAGTCCACACCTTTCCTGGAGTTTCCTTTCTGGCCAAACTCAAAATGTTTTAAATTATTCTGCTGGCCTATTTGCTCTTGATTCTCAGTATAAATCTGGCTAAAAGCCCCTACCAGTAACCATGCCACCACCTCATCATTGGACTGCCTTGACATTTCTGCTGTCAGATTAATTAATCCAATGCCCTAATCTCTGTCTCAGGCAAAGTTCCTGGACATGAGCAAAATACAGACAAACTTTATGCCAAGGTATAACACACCTTGTCTGGAGTCCCATAGCGAATGCAGTACTTTTTCCCTGCAGAGACCTCCTCAGCCTGGTCTTTACCAATAGGATTTCTATCAGCTTTCTGGTCTTTTGAGTTCTGAGCACAGTCTTCTATCAAGTACAACCTAAAGCATTCCAGCTCTACTTTTTAGCTTACATCTCTGATCCTTTCTACTTTCTTCCCATAAGCCTGATCATTTCTAATCTCTTCACATAAGCCATTCCTAAAGACTCCTGAGCCACTTGGGCATGTAGCATCAGAGCAAGAACCTCATTTCCCTGGTCCAAATTCTTAGTTACTTTTCTCATTGCTGAGACAAAATACTCAACACCCAAAGTTAAAGGAGACAAAATTTATTTGGTTCACATTTCACAAAGCTTCAGCCCATAATTGGCTGGCTACAAGGCAGGGAGGCATGCCAGAGGGGCATCATAAAGGAGTCACAGTTTATAGCTATGGATAAGAGGTAGCAAAACAAGCAAGAATTTACCACAGCTCTTTCTATCCCTTATATCTTATCCAGGCTACTTAGTGTGTGTAGCACTCATATCCTTAATTCGATCGCCCTTGATCCTAACATTGCACCATGAATCAATTTCAGCTTAACACACTCTAGATATAGCTACCTCTGAAAAAGCCCTACTTACAACTGCATGAAGATTTAGGGGAATATCTAAACACAGCCATAACACAGAGGTTGAGGGATTAGTAGTATTTATTCACTGCTGTTGAATCACTTTTATGCAGAAAATAGTTGGGTCTATGAGAGAGGATCATTTTCAAGATATTTGAAGGGGTAAGTTTTGGGGAATGAAAATAGTTGCATTTGGGGAACATTACCCAATTGGAACTGCTGCTCTAACAACTTTCTCTTGAAAGTGGCTCTTTTTCCTTTTGTCTTGATACAAAGAGTTCAAACAACAAAAATTATCTCCCCTCCATGTCTGTGAGTTCTGCATCTATAATTTCTACCAATAGTAGATTGAAATTTTTTGGTGAAAAAGTATGTCTTTCTTCCTTTGTCAATAATGCTTACCAATATAGTATAAATACATGTATGTGGTATTTACATTGAATTTTGTATTGTAAATTACCTAGGAATGATTTAAAATATATGGGAGAATGTACATAGATTATACGAAAATACTATACCATTTTATATGAGAGACTTGGACATTTGCAGACTTTGGCATCAGCTTTGTCCCAGGAATCAAGCTTTCACTATTCTCCAGGGGTGATTGTACATTCCTTTGCAGGGCACCCTTTAAAGTAACAACAAATTATAGCTTCCTCTGTAATCTTTAGTCAACTGTTAGTTTCACCCATTTCTTTGTAGAGTAGGTGTTTGATATATGTAAAAAGAGTATGTGAGATTGTCTCACAAAGGGCCTGGAAGTTTAGGCCTCTCAGGAATACAGATAGGCAGCTCTGTTCTTCCAACCCTAAAACCAACAAAATCAACTAAGTTGCAGATTATGTCAAGAGAGAGAACTGATTTTGATGAACAATGGGATCAACAATCACTATAAGAAGGACAATTCTATTATACAGATGGGTTCCTTATAAAGGCACTGAGTTTGGAGAAAACTTCTGTGCCTGTCATACTCCTCTGCCCAGCAGCCACTGGAAGACAATCTTGTCCACAAGTCCTCCAGCTAGTGACTCAGAAGGGTAAATACTGAGCAAAGAAGATAAAAATGTGCAGTGAGTTGGGTATTATATTTGACCATATCATATCTAAAGTCATTCTAAAACTGCCAGCTGGGTATTCCACATTGCATATTGGAGGCACTCAGTATTTATTGAACAACTTGACAGCAAGACTATGTCTGTCTAGGCCCTTCATAGGTGTGATGGTGATAATAGTGCCTCTCTTCTGGATGACCTTTGCTGAGATGTCCAGGTATTCCTGTCACCAAAATCAGACAAGAAATTTACATGGGCAGCAGAGGTGTCTAATTTCCTGCTGTAACCTAACCTCTTCCTTTAGCTGAAAAAAAAAATCTCTATAACACTCAAAAGTAAAAGGCACTTCTCTTTCTGGCCGAAACTGTTATTTACAACTGTTAAATTCTGAACAAAGTACATAAACAGAACTAAAATCACAGAACAGTACTCTACTCTTTGCAGATTTACTTAGAAAGGCTTTTATCTTATGCTGAAATGGACATCTGTCCTACTAACTGGAGAAGGATTGTCTTGGGAGCCATTCTTCTTGCCTGCAAGGCTTGGCACGATGAAGCTATATGGAATATTGACTTCTGCCAAATCCTCAAGGACATTACACTTGAGGACATGTGAGTTTGAAAGGCTTTACTGAATTTTCTAATGGCTTTTTAGTTCATTTCATCTAATAATGTATGTATTTTAAGAAATATATTTAAAGAGTACATAACACAGAAAATAGAAATAGGCATAAAACTATTACTTTTTCTTCAGCTATAGTATACAAATTCATACTGCCCATCAATAACTGGTAGGTTTTTATGGGTTATTGTAGTGATATGCTTGATGAGTTGAAATATTTTCTGGTTTTTGCCAAACATCTTATAAGCTTAGCCAAGAAAAACACACTTTTTATTTGAAAGAAACAAAAAAGAGAGATAAAAAAATCAAAATGAATCAGAATTTGAAAACAAGATGATAGGAAATTAACAATGGTTATCGTGCATATCTTTATGGCTTTTTAATACCTGCAAGTTCAAGTCCCTTTTCTAAGGGTTGTATGTTTGGCATTTGAAATAAATGTTTGAGTAATGTCTTGCTTTTAGGGCTACAACTCAGGCTGAGTTACAGCTTCAGCCTGAGTTACATATTGTATGTTTGCTTTGGTTGGTTTCTCTCAAATTCTTCAACAGAACATTTGGTCTATTTACTAAATTACAGCTTCAACCTTAGTCACATATGTTTGCTTTTCCTGATCTTTTTCATATTTTTATCTGAACATGTGTTGTTAGAATAACCAGAACATACAAGAAAAGTTACAGATCCCTGCGTCTGTCTTCTCTAGATTAGAGGAATTGCTTGTGTATAGAAATTGGTCTAATGGGCTCTGATTTTGTGCATATTGAGTGTGAACAGGCAGCTGCGTAGTTATATAGCACAGGATTGCTTCTAGCATTTCTTTTTCTACTGTACTGAACTGGCCCTTGTGTGTGTGTGTGTGTGTGTGTGTGTGTGTGTGTGTATGTGTGTATGTGTGTGTGTATACATTCTTTTCTGGTGAGGGGACACAGATACTGATCATCCTGGGGTTTTCAAGCACAGAAACAAGTGTGTGTGTATGTGTGTGTGTCCAGTGTTCTGCCGGAGGTCATATTTCAAATTGGATTTAATCTAGCCAAAACTCCTATCTTTGGTCTTCCTGCCTTCTAAAGTTTAAAATGAGTATCTTTACTGTCATGTTCACAGTTTGTCACCTTAGTCATACTAAGGTGCTCTTTGACATATCTTTTGACATAGCTCGGATGGGAGGAGGGATTTCCTTTCCCATCCAGTGTAGTTTCCCTCTCTCTCTCCCTCTCTCTGTCTCTGTCAATTTTTCATTGGATCTTTTGTTGGTGCCTCTCTAATCTGGTAATCCCTTCCGCTTATAAGTCACTGAAGATGTTTGCAAGTTCTTCAGAGCTAACAAGCAGCATAGAACACTTCTTTCATCTGCTTTCTGTAGACAAGCCACATGCGTGTGTGTGAAGTGAGTCACACAGATGCATTGATGGACTCTGAAGAAAGACCATGAACCAGCAGCAGGCAGGAATGAGTAGGCCATAACCTTGCTCCTCCCCTCAAATAGTAGTGCCTGTGTTGTATGAAATTTGAATCAACAGTAGCCAGTAGCTCAGAAGAAAAATATTTTAACACTGGAGGACCCCAGTGAGTAAACTCCAAAGTCTGAGGCACTGATTACAGAGTTTGTCTTTTTTACAGAGTGGCAAATAGAAGCTAAACTAGATAAACTTTAGCTGAAGGCCTTGTACAATGGGTATCTTGTGAGCATAGCTGTATGTAGCAAGGTTGTTTTTAGTGCATTCACAGAAGTTTCAGTTTGATGACAAATCACCTGATTTAGCTCAGTTCAGAGGCAGGGAACAGAATGGCTGCAGCTTTGTTGAACAAAATGTCTGCTGTTAGGTCAGGATTTCTGCTTTATTGGGCTACAGAAAGGACCAAATATAGCTGTACCTTATTGGAACATGAGTGTTTTCTTCCAGTTGTGCAGCCTTCATAGGTCTCAAAACAGATTTCACAGCAGTCCTAGAAGCTCTAAATGAAATTTTTTAAATATAGCCCACTTGAGTAAAATTTTTCTGTGTTTGTTTTCCTGATTCTTCCCTAGGAATGAGTTGGAAAGGTATTACTTGGACCTGCTTGAGTTTAATGTTAATGTATCTCCGAGTGTTTATGCCAAATACTACTTTGACCTTCGCTCTTTAGCAGATGACAGCGATGTGTGTTTTTTGTTTGCACCTCTCACCAAAGAAAGAGCACAGAACCTGGAGGTAAGTTTGTACTTTTACTAAGTGTGGTTTTCTGTGACCCACCAAAGCCAGCATCTGTGACTATATCATATTAAGTAGTAATTAGGCAAATGGAAAGCATTCAAATTAACACAATCAAGAGCTTACTAACCCTTTGGTGTCAATCATATTTCTCTGCTCTTTTATGGTTTGTATAAAGTTGCACACTATTTTTTAAAAGTAGATATTTCATCCTCTTTGACCATAATTCACAATATTTTAATGAAAATTTATCTGGTTATAATGCTTTTCCAACTTCTTTCTCCATAGCAACTCATGATTAATTCCTTGAGGTTGTATACCTTATGTCTACAAATGCAGCATTCCCTTAACTATATACTTCACTGTCTTTCACTCAGTTTGCAAGTTCAAGTCAGTATACAGCTATCACAGTCCAAACCCATGAGTTCATTAGTGAGATCCTTTGTATCTAATGTGAGAGTCCTATACTGAGGATGTGTGATGTGTGCTGGGTATGTTTCAAATACTGGAAGTTGGAAGGACATAGGTTGTAAATGGAAGTTATAGCTTACATAAAGCAAGATAATATAATGTGGCTTTTGATTTTTGGTGAGTGTACACCAAAATAATTCAGAGTTGAAATGGATGCATGTGTTCAAATAGCACTTTCTGTAGTGCCTTGGTAGTATTTTGGAATAATTTATGTTTCTCCCGCAACTCATGTGCATTTGAAGGAGCACATTTTAATATTTTAGTCCTTAGACCTATTCTGACCTAAAGTACAAACCTCCCTCCATGCCTCCACAGGCATTTCTTATGGTTTGTAATAAGTAATGAAGATCAGCTATAGTTGCAATAGCTGCAACAGTGTTTACTGATTATTTTGCACAGGTGTAGTTTTATCACTTTAATAAACAGTTGCAAAGATAAAAGATATTCCTTTTTGGGTCTATCATATCACAAAACATTTGACATCTTTGGAAACTTAGTTTTTAAAGCTGTTGAACAAAGTTTCTTTTTCCTCGTAATCTAATCGTTGACCTTAAAGGATATTAGCAAATTGGCCAGAGGTAGCATCTTCATGACAGTGCAGGCCTCAGACAGCCAAAGCAGAGGTGATCATGAAGTAGCTAAAGGAGTCTGAAGCATTATTGAACATCAGTGGCATTTTTGTCTTTCCAGTTTAAAAGAACTGTACCTTTATTGTATTAACTGTCCTAGGCCATGTCAAGATTATGTGAAGATGCAGACTTGTGTGGAGCGGCCATGAGAAGATTTTCCAGTGATGGCAATTTCGCTGGCATTCAGCTGTCTAATGCTATCCTCTCATAAAAGGAATAAAGGGGGCTGTGACATCATGAATCCCTCATTTACAAAAGCTGGAAAAATAGCTTCTCTTGTTAAAAAATACCCTACAAAGTAAACATTTCCCAAAATATAAGACTTTGAATTCAACAGACTCCTGGAGAGTGATATTTGCACTCCATAGGAAAGAAGAAGACATTGTCAATAATGAAACACTTTCTATTCTCTTTAATGTAAACAGATTGTAAGTCCTCTAAAGCAAAAGCTCCTAACTGCCAGATATTTGCTTACTTTGTAGGCTAGTATTGTATCTGCAACTTATGTGAGTTTTTTGAATTAAGGGATTAAATTTAAATTAATATTAAATTTTAATATTTTAAACATTAGCCTTTCTCTTTTACTTTAAAAATAAAAAGAGGAAAACATATAAACGAACAGACATCCATTTACAAAGTAGCATAGGAGCAATACAAACAGAGTTACAGACGAATTTGTAGGAAATTAACAATCATTGTTGTATTACTTATTGATATCTTCAAAGTAGCATCTCAGGAAAACAAATAGACACATACAAGCTTGATCAAACAAGTAATCATTAACTGTTCCTTTCTGTAGAGCAAAAGATGACAGTAGTACAACTGTTAGCTATCCTGCAAATATGTACATATACAATTTCACCTTCTTTCCTTTCTCTTTTCCAACACCCCAGATGCCCTTTACTTTTGAGAAGTTTCTTTTCACTTCACAATGTCTATCATACCTCTAGTTTTTATTCACTCTTTCAGGTCTTACACTAGTGAGATATTACGATGCTTACACATGCAGATCTGATTTATTTCACTTATGAGTATGGTCTCTAGTTGTGACCATTTACCTATAAAAGCCTCAAGTTTACCCTTCTTTATAGCTGAGTAATACTCCATTACATAAAAGTACCACAATTTTTTTATCCAATCATCACTGGATGGACATTTGCATTGCATCCACAGATTAGCAATTACACATGGGTGCACATATATCGCTGTGATATGATGTTGTCAGATCTGGGAAAATACCCAGAAGTGGAATAGCTGGGTTGAATGGGACCTCTAGACCTAGTTTACTGTGGAATCTCCAAACTGATTTACACAGTGGTTTCACCAGTCTGCATTCCCACCTGCAGTGGAGAAGGGTTCCTACTTCTCCACAGCCTCGCCAACATTTGTTATTGGTTGATTTCTTAATGCTAGCAGTTCTTAATGGGGTGAGGTGGAATCTCAATGTTGTTTTAATTTGCATTTCTCGAATGACTAATGATGTTGAACATATTCTCATGTATTTATTTGCCATTTGTATATCATTATCTGACAAGTGTGTGTTCAACTCAGCTTCCCATTTTTTGATTAGGTCTTTGAATTTGGGGGGCTGATGTTTTAAAATTCTTTATATGTTCCAGATAGAAGCCTTTTGTCTGAGAGACAATCAGCTAAAATTTTTTTCCAAATTTATGGGATTTCTTTTTATTCTGCTGGTGATTTCTCTAGATGTGCATAAATTTTTCAGTAGGATGGGATCTCAGTTGATTCTTTGAAGTATTTCTCATGCAGTTTGGTTTTTGTTCATGAACTCTCTGCCTACCCCTATGTCTTCAAGGTTTTTACCTACTTTCTCTTCCAATAGGTTTAGTGCTTCTGTTTTAATACTGAGAAATGTGAACCATTTTGACTTGAATTTAGTGCATGATGATAGACTTGGGTGTATTTTCAGTCTTTTGCAGGTCGCAAGCCAATATTTCCAGCATGATTTATTAAAGAGGCTATTGTTCTTCCAGTAAGGTTGTTTGGCCCCTTCACCAAAGATTAGGTGGCTGAGTGTCTTTGTGGTTGTGTCTCCAGTCCACTCCACTGGTCTGGTTTTTAGCCAGTACAAGGTTGATTTTATTACATTAGCTTTGCAGTATAGTTTCAGATCAGGGATTGTAATTCCACCTGACTTGTCCTTGTTGCCAAGGATTGCTTTTGCTATTCTGAGTCTCTTAAATTCTAGAAGAATTTAAGCATTGTTTTCTCTAGATCTGTGAGGTATGCTGATGGTACTTTAATGGGAACTGTATTGAATCTGTACAACAGTTTTGGTAGTATGCCTTTTTCACAATGTTGGTTCTTCCTGTCCTGAACAAGGAATATTTTTCCATTTATTGAGATCCTCTTTGATCTCTTTTTTCAAAGTACTGTGGTTTACTTCTTTTCTTAGATTGATTCCAAATATTTCAGTTTCTTGGATGCTATTGTGAAAAGTATGGTTTCTTTAATTTCTCTCTCAGCCTGTTTGTTGTATGTGTATAGGAATGCTATTGATTTTTGGGTGTTTACTTTGTATCCAGCTCTGATGCTGTATTTGTTGACTAATTGAAGGAGTCTTCTTGTGGAGCTTTTCGGGTCTTCATGTAAAGTATTATGTCATCTGCAAAGAGTGATAGTTTCACTTCTTCCTCTCCTATCCTTATTCTTTTTATTTCTCTCTCTTGTCTAATTTCTCTGGCTAATGGTTCCAGGATTATGTTGAACAGGAGTGGTGACAGCAGACATTCTTGTCTTGTCCCTGATTTTAAATTAAAGCTTTCAGTTTTTGTTCATTTAGTGTGATATTGGTTGTTGGTTTGTCATATATAGCTTTTTTCAGGTTGAGGTAAAGACAATCTATTTCTATTTTCTGTAGAGTTTTTATCATAAATACATGTTAGACTTTGTCAAAGGCTTTTTCTGTATGTATTGAGATGATCATATGATGTTTGTTTTTGGTTTTATTGATATGGTGTATAACACATTGATTTGCAAATATTGAACCATCTCTGCACTTCAGGAATGAATCCAACTTGATCATGGTGTATGATTTTCTTGATAATTTGCTGCATTCTATTCTCTAGTACTTTATTGAGTATCTTTGCATCTATATTCATTAGGGAGATTAGTCTGTAGTTCTCTCTCTGGGTTGGGTCTTTCTCTGGATTTGGTATCAGTATAATACTTGCCTCCAGAAATGAGTGAGGGAAAATTGCTTCCTTTTCTTGAAGAATTTGAGGAGTGTTGGTATTAAATCTTCTCTGAATTTCTTGTAAAATTCTGCTGTGAATCCATCAGGGCCTGGGCTTTTCTTTGTCGGTAGATTTTTAATCATGCTGTCAATCTCATTAATTGATATTGGGTTGTTCAGGAATTTGATATCTTCTTGACTCAACCCTGGTAATTCCTACGTATCTAGGAATCTGTCCATTTCTTCTGAGTTTTCTATCCTATGGGAGTAAAGATTTTCAAAGTAGATATTAATGATCTGAATTTCTGTGGAATCTAGCAATTTCATCCTTTTCATTCCTTATTGCATGAATCTGAGTGCTTTTCTTCCTTTTTGATAAAGTTGGCTAGGGGTTTATTAATTTTATTTATTCTTTCAAGGAACCAACTCATTTCATTTATTTTTTGAAGGGTTTTCTTTGTCTCAATTACATTAATTTCTGCCCTAATGTTTATAATCTCCTCCTTTCTTTGCACTTTGGGCTTGACTTTTTTTTAAAAAAAAAGTTCAAGAGGCAGCATTAGGTTATTTATCCGTTCTATTTCTGTTTTCCTTATGTGTGAATTCACAACTATAAACTTCCCGCTGAGGACTGCTTTCATTGCATCCTACAGAGTTCAGTAAGTTGTATTTACATTTTCATTTATTTGTAGGTATTTTTTAATTTGTTCTTTAATTTCTTCTGTGACCTATTGGTTGTTCAGTTGGTTGTTGTTTAATTTCCAAGTATTTATGGAGTTTTTGGAGTTCCTTTTGTCATTCATTTCCACTTTCATTGCATTGTAGTGTGATAATATGCCTGGGATAATTTCAATTCTTTTGCATTTAGGTAAGTATTCTCTATGGGATAGAATGTTGTCTATTTTAGAGAAAGTCCCATGTGCAGCTGAGAAAAATGTGTATTCTAATGTGGTGGGGTGGAACACTCTGTATACATCTACTAAGTTCATTTGTTAAGAGATTTGGCTCAGATCTGTTATTTCCTTGATGATTTTTTGTCCAGTTGACCTATCTCTTTCTGTCAGTGGAGTGTTGAGGTACCCTATTACAATAGGGGTTTTAATTATATGAGTTTTCATGTCTGTCACGATTTGTCTTTTATAGTTTGGTGCTCCAATATTTGGTGCACGCATGTTTAGAATTGTTGTCTCTTCCTCTTGCACTTTTCCCCTAAAAGTATATCGTGACTTTCCTTACCTCTTTTGATTGTTCTAGGTTTGAAGTTTACATTGCAAACATGATAGCTACACCTGCTTTTGTCTGGGATTCTGTTGCATGGAGGACTATTTTCTATCGTTTGACTTTCAGCCTATGGATTTTCTTTTGAGTAAAATTTGCTTCCTGTACAGAGCATATTGTTTGATTTTATTTCTTAATCCAGTCTTCCAGTCTGTTTCTTTTGACTAGTCAATTGAGATTGTTTACATTTATGGTTATAACTGATATGTGGAGGCTTATCATTGTCATGTTATTTACTTTTGTTGATTTCCTACTTTTCTTACCTGTTTATTTGCTTGCTGTTCTTGACAGTTCCTTTCTATTTTTTTCTCTGTCTAGGATATCTTTTAGTACTCTTAGCAGTGGTGGTTTGTCCCTCATGAAGTTCATCATTTGTTCTTTGTCGTGGATGTATTTTTTTTCTCTGTTGAATTTGAAGAATAGTTTGCAGGGTACATCAGTCTTGGTTGGAAGTTGTTTTGTCTCAGAATCTATAATACTTCCCTCCAAGCTTTTTTCATTTGGATGGTTTGTGTTGAGAAGTCTGCCATGATTCTGATATGTTTTCTTTTATAAGTAATCTGTTTCTTTTCTCTAGCAGCTTTTAAGATTCTGTTCTTTTGCTGGAGATCTGGGACTTGGCTAGTATATGTCTGAGTGTAATTTTATTTTGGTTATGGTTAGTTGGAGTTCTACAGGCCTCCTTTACTGTATATCAGGTTCTGTTTCCATACTTGGGAAATTTTCTGTTCTTATTTCTGCAAATATTCTTTTTATGTCATTTGTGTTGCCTCCTGCTGTTTTTTTGACTCCTATTAGTCATACATTATTCCTCTTTGCCTTGTCTTGCAGCTGTTGAATTGATTTTTCCTGGTTCCTTGTTGATTTTAAGAGATCCTTTCTTTCATGATTGCTAGCTGCCATGCTGCTTTCAAAAGCTTAAATTCTATCTTCAGCTTCATTCAAGAAATTTTGGCA